GGAAAAAGAAAGAAGGAACATAGACTGGCTGAGGCAGAAGAATGGAACATTACACCATCTGTTCCCTCAACACATGCACCTTATCTTGAAGTGATAAGAAAACCTTGAGAAGGAATTTAATTCTTTTAAACTCAACTTACTATTTTTAGTAGGTAATAAAAAATAAGATACACTTTATCCTTGAATAAGTTATTAATTTCTTAATGTGTAAGAAAAAAATTTATTACAAGAATTGACAATAACATAAACAAACATTGATTTCGATAAATATATAATCATTATTCTTAAATACTTATTTATAATGTAGTGTACAAGTCCCTAATATAATAAGAATTCTTAAATTGTGAAAATTCTTAAAAAGTTAATGACTTATAACAATATAAATGAGAGAAAAAAGAAGATAAGACGAGAGTGAGAGATGTATTTTACGGAGGAGAAAAATTATTTTATATATAGAAGGATAGATTTATAGATAAACTCATTTTTTCATTACTTGTCCATTTATCTTAAATCAATGATTATATATAAGGAGGAAAATTGCAAGTCAACATTATTACAAAAAAATCACTCGATATACAAGAGAAATCAAATAAGAGAAGAGAAAGTTTACTTATTTTGCAATATTCTGTTTTTTCAATAATTATGAGTTAATTATGATTATTATCATGATAAGAAATATCATTGGTTTAAACCAAAACTAGTTTAGAAACCGTGATTTTTAATAATCAGACTTTAATTAAATTAAGTCAAAATCAAAAAAATCAGGTAAATTTGTAATCAAATAGATTTAAAAAAAATATTTTAAATCAAATTTTTTAATATATATTTTTTATATATAATATATTTTAATTTTTTAATCTTACATCAACTTTAAATAATAATTATTTTATTATATTTTTATTTTATTTTAACAATTATTCATCTTATTTTTTCATACATTTTATATTTATAATTTTTATTATAATTTATAATAATCATGTTATAATCTTTATTATTTTTTATAAAAAATACTATTATTAATAAATTTATGATATTATAAAAATATTATTTATTAAATTTGATCGAGCTTCCGTTAAATTTCACTTAAATTTTTACATCCTAACTTGTAAAATTTTAAAAACATTAGTAAATACAGTACTCGATATTCAAACCAAGGAAAGTTTGTTGGACTTATTTTGATTGCTTTTGTGGCGGCATAAATGCGACCGAGTGATTGACGTTGTTGTGCGTGACCTCGACGTGCTGAACCTTCACCACTGTCCTTAAAATAACAAGAAGATAGGATTCCTCAATAAATCAAAGGAATAATTCAACAAAGTCAACCAAAGAGAAAGAGTCCTCTCTACTTTTTCGGTTTTAGTATGAATTTGCTAAACTATTCTCACTCTTTTTTATGTTTAAAAGATATTTTAAAAAAATACATTTGCTCTATAATACCCTTATTTAGTATATACAATTTTAATTATTAATTATGTCATACCCTAAAATTTAACTTATGACTTAAAAAAAATGTAAAATATCATTGAGAAGTAAATTAGGAGGCTAAATCTTGAGTTTAGAGAAAGAGACACTAATCACTGACATTGAAAACAGTGTATTTGCACATTAAAAGTAAAGAAGAAATAAAAAAGTGGTAGACCTACCTGCTTCTCACCAAACTCCACAAGGAAGACATGTTAGCAATGAAGGATTTATATATTATTTTTACATGTAAACATGCAAGGGAATATGTGATTGTTTCTATATATTTACCTGTTTATATATGGAATAATTATTTTTAATTATGCATGCTTTTGGTTCCAGTTTTTGAAGATTAGAAAAAGTTTTCATCAAGTGTAGTTATTGGTGCAGGGGGATATGTTCTGTGCGCGCGTGCTGTTATACTGAATTTTGCAACTAATGGAAGTTAATGAATGATGATGGTTTTTATGATTGCAAGCACCAGGCTTTGCTTATGTTTCATCAACTTTGATTACTTTATAAGCATTCTAATAAAATTTAAGAATCTCTATCTTTCTTAATATTCATTATTTAGAAACGAATCACGATGTTTAATTCTAAATGAGTATTAATTAACATTTTTTATTTTAGGAGCTTAGGCGTAGAAATAATACTAGTATTAAAAAAATTATTTTTTTAAATTAAATTTCTATAAATTAAAGATGATATTTTGATTATTTAAGTTAAACAAATTTTAAATTATATCTCGTACAAATTTGAAATTTTTCATATATATTTTTTAATTTATGTTCTCTTTTATATTTTATCTTTACCACATTAAAATATTTTTTACATTCATTTGAAGAATAACTTGATAAATTAGAGTGTTTTAGTTTTTCAATATGATCTATTTTAATCTTATCCGCTTAATTGTTAGGTCTTTTAAGAAAAATGTATTGATGAGAGATAACATTAATAAGATATGAGTCAAACTCATATAAGTTATTAACATCACACTCACGTAAAAAACTTAATACATTGAGTTAAGAGTCTTTTTTTCTTATATGTTATTTAACTTTCTTACTCTTATTCAATGTGAAACTTAGACTCACATTTAAATCTTCTAACGTTAACATGATTTGATTCATCATAATTAACCTAACTTAATTTATCCCAATACAATCTATCACGACCTCACTCATCACAATTTGTCCACTACAAGAAAATAGCGTATTACCGATGGATATTTAACGAAGGATTTATAACCGTCGAAAATAATAATTACCGACAGAAATTACCGACGGATATAAAATATTTGAGGAATTTGATGTTACCGACGGATATATCCGTCGGTAAAATAATAATTAGTTACCGACGGATATATCCATCGGTAATTTATAAATGAATTTATCTACGGAAATATCCAGTCGGTAAATCCGTCGATAAATTAACAATTAATTACAGACGGATATATCCGTCGGTAAATTCATTTGTAAATTAACAATTATTTACCGACGAATATATCCGGTCGATAAAATTATATAATATAATTTAATTATTCACCTAATTAAAAAATAAAATATTTTTTATTTAATAATTTAATTTAATCATAGTTAGATTAATTTATAATAATTTATTAAATTAAATAATTTTAAAAAATAAATATTTAATTATATATAAATATATAAATATATAAATATATTTGTATATAAATATAATTTATTTGTAAATTATTAAAAAAATTCTCGTAGTTTAGTTCTAATAAGGATATAAAGGGGAGGGGTTTTATAAAAACAAAATATGCTATAAATAAGTAAAATTTTTAATAAATAATAAAATTATTACCGACGGATTTTGACCGTCGATAATTTTAATATTTCTTGTAGTGGTAGACCTAACCCGACTTGATTCAATCTTCTCGAAATCTTGACCAGATTTGACCTTATTAATATAGTATGTTTCTATCTTACTTAACTTGTTATAACCTATCATGACTCATTTCCTTCCATCTTGCTTATAGATAAAGTATTATGAGTTAAACTTAATTTATAAATTTAATAATGATAATTTTTATATTTGATGACAATTAAAATATTTTATCTAAATAAAAAATTTTAAATTTAATAAATTTGAATTATTTCACTCAAATAAATTGTTTAAAAAATTAATTCATTTGAAATAAAATGAATTCAAAACCAGATATTTAAATTTATAAAAATTACAAAATATATTATCCTAATACAAAATTTATGTTTTTATTATTATATTTTCTTTTATTATATCCATAGTAAAACTAATGTTTCTTATTGCTTATTTTTTCCTTTAGAGAAATATACTATTTTTTTCATATATTTTTACCATAGAAATAGTTGTATTTTTATATTTTTATACAAAATATTTGAATGCTATGTTTTTTTTTATATATTTTTCTTTTATAATCTACTATTTTTATTTAATATATATTCGATTACAATTCATTTAAGAAATTAAGCATTATTTATTATTTTCTTTAATTTAAAATATATGATATTTAATGTTATATTATAATATTAAGATAAATATTAATTTTGATTATTTTCAACAAATTTATTATTTTTTATTAATATTTTATCATCCTAATATTCTCTAACAAAAAATAATTTGTTTTTATTATCATTATTATATTTGTAATTTTGTAATTTTACTTATTATATATATATATATATATATATATATAATTTTTTTCCTTTGTTTACGAGAATTCAATGTTATTTTAAATAGGGCAACTGTAAAAAGAAAAATACCAATCAGATTAAACTTATAAATTCTTAGATTAAAACACCATTAAATCTATTTATCCGAATATTATTATTTTTTTCTTTCAAATTGATGTATATTTAAGTAAAAAAAATGAATTGGATTAAATTGGTATTGTTTGACAAGTTAATGTACTAACTTAAAAAAAAACTCATGAAAAATTTATGCCAATATTTTAGTATTAAAAATTCAATTTGATTTTATAATAATCCCTTTAATTATTAAAGCCAAATAAAATAAATCTAAATTGTAATATTATTACAAAATCATTATATGAAATATAAATATATAAAGTTATTAGAAAAATAACAATATCTTATATAATTATTACATTTATAAATATATTTTATATTAGATTATTATCTTAACTAACTTAGGGATAATAAAAATTACTTTTTATTATTCTCAATTATACATTGATTAATGAATTACAGTTATTAAGCCAAAAAAAACCTAAATATTCAACATTTTTGTTTATGTTGCTTCGTCCTTCTTCATCAAGTTTAAAAATAGAATAAATAACTAATCCAATATAAAAAAAATGTAAAACCTAAATAAAAATAAAGTATATATAAAAAATAAAGCGTAAACACAAAGCAACTATGTGTACCTAAAGAGCAAAAGATAATATCTGCCAGCATCTTATTGGTGCTTTCCCATCACTAAAATTAAATTTTTAAATTTAGGGTTTTCAAAATAGAGTTATTAGATATAAAGGGTAATTTTATATATATTCTTCCTTCAATTTTGTATTCTTTAGGACCATGTGTGGGACAAGGGAGCTTATGAAGTCCAATGAAATTAAGAAAATGAGGGATAAGGTGGAGCTTAAATGCTGGGTTGCTGATTTAAAGCAAGTGGGAGGACCATGTGTTTGTGCAAAAGTCACACACTCAGATTACAAATTACTCACTCACGTCACTGTTTCTGACATGAGGCTGCCACCAAAACACGACACAAAAATCAAATTAAATGCCGGCGTCACTTTTTTATTGCCACAAAATTATAAATCCAATATGCAGAACAAACCAAGACAGATAATTTTGTACATAGTTTTGAGGTTTCAATCAATTTTAAGTTTTTTTGTCTTTTATATTCTAATTGTGACAATACAAATTTTTTAATTTATATTTCAGTTTCTCATCCTAATTTCATGCAACAAATTAAGCATGAGATATTTTTATTTGACGGATATTAAAAAAATTATTTGGGTTTTTAAACAACTCTATAGATATTTGGAAAAAGTTTTTTTTTTTTTCAGATATGTTAGTCAATATTTCTCAAAAATTATGTCTTTAGATAATAGAAAAAAAAATAGTAGGATGAAGTAAGTTGAATTGAAGGGAAACAAATATAAGATGAGACAAGCAGGCACATGGTATTGTGGTTTTATTATATATAGTTAGTCACAGCATTAGGTATTCGACTGGTTGTTGCATGGACTATTTTTCTTTAGAGTTCATCTTTTCTCACTTTCTCTCTCTCTCTCTCTCTCTCTCTCTCTCTGATCACTGTTTGTGTTTTCATTCTTCCAAAAACAACAACTCGAGCTGAGGGAACACAGAGAAGGAGTAAGTAAGCGCCTCCTTTCATGTCTTTCATTTCCTTCCCTCTTCTTCTTCTTCTTCTTCTTCTTCTCTTTCTTTTTGTTTTCTTGTATCAGATCTCTGTGTTAGGATATTTGTCCCCGTGTCTGATTCTTGCTCTTCTTGGATGCTTCCGTTTTTCCTTTTTTTTTGTCGCAGATCTGATTTCTGCATGTGGGTTCTCTGCCTCCTTTCATCTATTGTTTTTTACTTCAATTTCCTGTTTTTTATATGGTTCAGTGCTCTGCTTATTCCGTGCTTTACTATATTTTTACCAGACAAAAAGTGTTCTTCTTTTTCCCGTTTTACAATCAGACGGGGTTCAATCATTTTAAAATCTTGTGTTATTATTATTTTCTTACTTAGATTAAATGCTTTGTTATATGCCCCTGTTCTGAAGTCTGATGTGAACTTGGATTGGAGGGTTCTTTGATCTTTGCTCTTTTCTCAAATTTTCACTCTCACAAAACTCTATCGATCATGATTCTAGGAATAACTATACATCGGTTTGAGTAAGGACAACAATGTTTGGATTTTTTTTTTCAACATTGTGTTTTCGTCCTTGCCTACAGAGCACATGATATGAATAGAGGTTTCTTTTTTGTAATTGAGTGTTTTTTGGCCCAGTGCCATGTGAAAATCATAAATACAATGGTGGAAAGTAGCACTGTCTATTACTAGTGTTGATCACCTGGAATTTAATCATCGTTTCATATTCTCTTTGCCATGTTTTAGTTCGACATTTCGGATCAATTATGGGAATTTTTGAATTCTAGCATTGATCTGATTGTATTAATTGTGATCAAGTCTTGTTTTTGTGAGTATCGACATTACTAGTTTTTTATGGTTATTGATTCCTTTTTTCATTGATGTAATCTAATGATGTTAATCTGCTGTTCGTCTAAAACTTCAGTAGTTAAACTAGGATGATTTGATAATTTTAGGCACAATGTTTTTTTCCAAGTTGAATGAGCCCATACTACATAAGTGATGTGCTTGTTTGGGTCTTGGAGTGGATAGGAAACTGGCACTATCTTCACTTCTTTTAATATGATTGGTTGTTAAGAGTGGCTTCCAAATGCTTTTTTTTGTTACTGACTATCTATCTTTGATAAAGATTGATAAGATAACTGAGTATTTTGAATGACATATGAATTTGGGTTATCATTCTTTAAAGGACATGAGTTGAAAGGGAGGGGAGGAAGTTGGATGTTTCCATATTTGTGATGTTGAGCTTGTTGGTTTTCTGCAGATAGTTGATTATTTCACAGACAATGAACAATAAAGATGTAAAACCAGTCACCCAGTCAGACAAGGGCAAGATTGTCCCTATGGCAATCATATTTGTGGTGCTATGTGGATTTTCTTTCTATATGGGTATAATCTTTTGTTCTGAGAAGGACGGTTTTGCGTCAATTTACAGCCAGAAATCCATTGAATCTCCCAAGGAGTCATCAATAAGTTCTCTGTCGATTAAATACATCAGTTTTCCTGAATGCGGTGCTGACTATCAAGATTACACTCCATGCACCGATCCAAGGGTAAGTAATAGTATTACATTTTCTGATGCTATAGATTTGTAGAAGAAAATTTCCTTATGAATTTATTATGCTTAAATTTACAGAGATGGAGAAAATATGGCTCCTATAGGCTTACTTTGTTGGAACGCCATTGCCCTCCAAAATTTGAGAGGAAAGAATGCTTAGTTCCTCCCCCAGATGGGTATAAGCCTCCAATTAGATGGCCAAAGAGCAGAGATGAATGTTGGTACAGGTACAATATATGTCTTATAAGTTAACAACAAAAGGTTCACTTAATCTAGATTTCTTAAAATTGATATTTTTCCACTCCTTCAAGTCTTCTGTTATGTATGATTTCAGGAATGTCCCATATGACTGGATTAACAAGCAGAAGTCCAATCAGCATTGGTTGAAAAAGGAAGGCGAGAAATTCATCTTTCCTGGTGGGGGTACTATGTTCCCCAATGGTGTTGGTAAATATGTTGATTTGATGCAAGATCTGATCCCAGAGATGAAAGATGGGACTATTCGAACTGCCATTGATACTGGTTGTGGGGTGAGTTTTCTTTCGTCCTACTATTTTTATAGGAAATTGCTAGCAAATTATAATTCTCGAAGCTCCATTATAAACAATAAATTTCTAGTTTACTTACATGTGCTACTTCATCTAGTTGTGCTTTTTTTAACTGCAGACAAGTATGTTGTTAGGCAGTTACAAAAATTCCTATTTCGATCCTCTATTTCTGATCCAGTTCTGTTGCTCAAACATGTTATAGACAAGACCTACCTTGCATTAATAAATCCGCATAACTCTAATTCACTTTAGGTTGCTAGCTGGGGTGGTGACTTGCTGGATCGTGGGATTTTAACACTTTCTCTTGCACCAAGAGATAACCATGAAGCTCAGGTTCAATTTGCTCTGGAGCGTGGTATCCCTGCAATACTCGGTGTCATTTCTACTCAGAGACTTCCATTCCCTTCAAACTCCTTTGATATGGCTCATTGCTCCAGATGCCTTATCCCCTGGACAGAATTTGGTACTTATTTATTTATTTTTATGTATTCTGAACTTTTAGTATTTAGACAAAATTTATTCCTGTGATCGTGAACTTTAATGCTTTACCAGTTTGTAGCCTCTTAAATCTTGGATTTCAAGCATATGCTGTAAATATGAGGTTCTTTCAAAACAGTCTGAAGTTTTGTTTTCAATGAGCACCAGGATTTTATAACCTTTATCAACAATTTGCTTTCTACATGGACTTCAATCAATGTGAAGCCATCACTATTTGAGTCGGTTTTCCTGGCCTGATTAGTGTGGCTGTTTTATAAAATGGTAAACAGTTTGAATCATGTCCACATTTATTTCAGGATGTAAATATCACCCTAATCTTGCTGCTTTGATGATTTGTTATTGGTTTTCTGCTAGTCTCTTTCTACTTAGAGCTGAGATGTTATCTTGAATCTAAATTCTTATTCTTTTTATCGGGTATCTGATTTTAGGTGGAGTTTATCTCCTTGAAATACATCGGATTCTTCGGCCTGGAGGATTTTGGGTCTTGTCTGGTCCACCAATAAACTATGAGCGCAGGTGGCGTGGATGGAACACAACCATTGAAGCACAAAGATCAGATTACGAGAAGTTGCAGGAATTGCTGACTTCATTGTGCTTTAAAATGTACAAGAAAAAGGGTGACATTGCTGTATGGCGGAAGTCTCCAGATAACAATTGCTATAATAAGTTGACTAAAGATACCCATCCACCTAAATGCGATGATAGCCTCGAACCAGATTCAGCATGGTATACTCCTCTTCGTAATTGTATGGTGGTTCCAGATCCTAAGTTTAAGAAATCAGGTCTGTCATCCATTTCTAAGTGGCCTGAACGATTGCATGTTACACCAGAACGGATCTCAATGGTTTATCATGGGAGTGGTAGTACTTTCAAACATGATGACAGTAAGTGGAAAAAGCAGGTAGAGTACTACAAGAAGTTGATCCCTGACCTTGGGACCGACAAAATAAGAAATGTAATGGACATGAATACAGTATATGGAGGTTTTGCTACAGCCTTGATTAATGATCCTGTTTGGGTCATGAATGTGGTCTCATCTTATGCTCCCAATTCACTTCCTGTGGTTTTTGATCGAGGCCTTATTGGAACCATCCACGACTGGTAATTTTGAAGCATAGTATTTTTATTTTGAACAGACTTTTGTCTTGTAAGATGTACGTTGATTTGATTTTTTTATGGTAGGTGTGAAGCTTTTTCGACGTATCCTCGAACATATGACCTACTTCATCTTGATGGACTGTTCACAGCAGAAAGCCACAGGTGACTATGTCAACTCATTTTGATAGTTCACAACAGAAAGCCCCAGTTTACTCATTAATGACATTATATTGATTTACACGAAATAGATCTTACTATTTTTCCAGTATTCTTCACTACTAAACTAATTTGATCTACACTAGATTCAATTGAACTTCTTATTTAACTTGCTGTGTGTATACATAAGAATTGAATTAGACTGCTCTGACAAGGATTGTCACATGGCAGGTGCGAAATGAAGAATGTGTTGTTGGAAATGGATCGAATCTTGCGACCTTGGGGTTACGCAATCTTTCGAGAATCCAGTTATTTTATGAAGGCTATAGCAACCATTGGCAAGGGCATGCGTTGGGAATGTAGTAAAGAAAACACTGAGACTGGCAGTGACACGCAGAAGGTATTAGTATGCCAGAAAAAGCTATGGTATTCATCCAACCAGGTTTCAAGATGACAGACTATGGAACTTGAGCCAGTGGTAAGATGGTGGTGGTTAGACTAGTAGTATAGTGGAGTAGAAGCAAAAGGGAAGTTTATAGAATAATATTATGAGTAAAAAATCATTTAAGTTCAACTTTGTGAAAAGAACAAGTGGTAACCCACTAATCTGATTTTGTTAATTTATAGAGAAGAATTTCCTATATACATGATTATGTATCACTTGCATCCTTTTAAACACTACCCTGCCCCTTTCAGATAGAAAAATGTTTTAGAATCCAAATGCTGCCATTGTGAAGGAATCAAACTATACGGGAAGCATATGCATTCCCACCCACGAGTACTGCCATTTGAAGGACGATGATATTTTTGTACAGATTGTTTGTGGAGAAGAGCAATGGACTTATATTAATGCTGAGCATGATATAATAATATTCTGAATTTTTTGCTAAGATTCGAAGATTGTGTTTATTGTGAGTTGGTATTTAAACTGTTACTTTGATTAACCAATATTGTCTGTATTAAGTAAGATTTTTATGGGGATGATCTGGATGCCTCTCAGATTAACTTCGTCGGCCATGGATGACTTTCCTTCATCTGCAACACGACCATCATCTACCTACGTATGATATTTAAGACTTGTAAGTATTACGAAATCTCTTGTTTGCACCAAAATTTGGAGAAATTTTTCTTTCTTCCTAAATGACACGTAGTATCTCCTATTACGTAGAATTATTCTAACTATCTCATTTTAATATATGTACATAAATACTTAATCCATACATAATAATATCAACCAACATATCTGATAAAAGTAATCTCAAAAGACGGACTGAAATCAAGACCTCTGAGAACGTTCAACAAGGGCACTGCCATTTGTTCACGATCTCACAATTAATTTTAGAGTTAAATAATATATTATTAATAAACAATAAATAAATATAAAAATATGAAAAAAAAGAATAAAAAAGATAAAATTATAAATATATAAATAAATATATTAAATGATGATTAAATTTAGAATAAATATATTAAATATTATTAAATTTGGATTAAAATTATAAATTATATAAAAATTATTAAAATGAGAGAAATTAAAAAAATAAAATTATAAATATATAAATAAATATATTAAATTATCGTTAATTTTTAACACATATTTTTACACGAAGGATCGTTACTTATCAAGACAAACACATAGCATGTGTGTCGCAATGTAACCTGAATGAGCAAGATCCCAACATCTAAACTGAGATACTGGAACAAGGAGCAAGGAAATGACGTTTTCTTTCGCAATGATTTTGATCGGCGATTCCATTCCGTAATCCTCTCAGGATGTTTTCCGTTTCATTCTATAATCTCGGTGGTGACATGGGTGGCGTGCCCTAGGTTAGGAGTAGTTGGTCTGTTTGTTTGATTTTGCGTTCTTGGTTTGCTGTGCTTTTCGACGTTCCCTTAAGGTGGTTGTGTGATGCTCGTGGATGCTTAATGAAAATATGATGTTTTGTGAATTGGTTTAGGATTTGCTGATTTATGTACTTGACATACTCTTCATTATGATGTTAGTTGATATTATTTTTCAGTTGTTTATTAAGAAAAAAAAAACTGTTCATAAAGCCATATGCGGGCGAAGAAGAAAATTGTGTTTTCATTGATTATTGAAAACCAGGCAGGCAAAACCAATAACAATTCTGTTCAGTCTTTACTAGACCGTTGAGCGGTTTCATTCCAGAGAATAAGTTGCATGAAAGGCTAAGCCAATTCACACAAATGTCTACTATAATGGAAATATTTTGCTGCGTGCACTGATACACTTAAGACTTTCAACGTCGGTTACATGAGGACTTCAATGGCGATTCTACAATCGACGTTGTATACGACAACGTTGAAAGTCAGTTATGCATTATTATTATGATTTAAACCAACTAACAAAAGTATTATTATGTTCATTAACCAATCACCGCTCACTCATTTTGGGGTTGAGGGTCTTTAATATTGATTGATGAACAAATATGTAAGGAAAACCTTCATCTGTGTTATTTAGAATATACAAGTGTGCCTTGGTCAACTCACTAACATTTTTTTATTGTATTTTTACCCCACGAGTGCCCTTACCATTCATTCTATCATCATGTCGTTGAGTAGGTACACCCACTGCTAGGGCCTTTCCAAAATATTCAGAACAAAATTCTATAGCTTCTTCTGCAATATACCTTTCAACAATAGAAGTTTTAGGTCTGTATGAATTCTTTGTATACCCTTTGAAGATCTTCATACATCACTCAATTGGGTACATCCACCTCAAATAAATCGGACCACACATTCTTATCTCTCTTACAAGATGAACTATTAAGTGCACCATAATGTCAAAAAATGATGGAGGAAAATACATCTCCAACTGACATAATATAACCACAACTTCATTTTTCAACTGCTCCAATGATTTCTCATCAACTACCTTGGCACATATAGCATTGAAGAAGAAACAAAGACGCATAATTGCATGTCGTAGATTCTTTGGCAATATGTCACGTATAGCTACGTGTAAGAGTTGTTGCATCAAAACATGACAATCATGCGACTTTAACCCAACTAGCTTCAGATCTTTCATGGACACAAGACTCTTAATATTTGAAGAGTATCCTTGTGACACTTTAATACTGTGAAGACATTGACATAAACTAGTCTTCTCCTTCTTTGACAATGTGTGACAAACTGGTGGTAAATATGTTCTCTTGCCTTCAGGTCTTGGATGTAATTCTGGACGTATTCCCAATTCACAGAGATCTTGACGAGCATTGACTCCATCCTTTGTTTTTCCAATGAGACTATCACATAAGTTCTTCTCCACATGCATAAAATCAATGCAATGTCTCACATCTAGATGACTCCAATATGGAAGGCTAAAGAAAATTGATCTCTTTTTCCACAAGCTTTTATCAGACGACTGTTTTTGAGTCTTTCCAAAGACAACATTAATGTTTCTAACCCGTTCATAAACTTATTCACCAGTTAAAGGTTGTTTGGAAATTTTATCTTCCTGCTGACCATTAAAAGCTTTCTTCAATCTTCGATATGGGTGGTTATGTGGAAGAAATTTTCTGTGTCTATTATACACAGTCTTTTTTCCATGCTTCAATTGTAGAAAACTTGTATCTTCCTCACAAATAGGACAAACATGATGACCCTTGACACTATACCCACTCAAGTTTCCATATGCTGGGAAGTCATTGATAGTACAAAATAACATTGCATGTAACTTGAAGCTCTGCTGTTGATATACATCAAACACATCCATTCCTTCCTCCCACAATAGCCTTAAGTCATCTATTAACGGACTTAGATAAACATCTATGTCATTACCCGGCTGTCTTGGACCTGCAATCATGATGGATAACATCACGTACTTGCGCTTGAAAATCAACCATTGTGGAAGGTTGTAAATCACTAAAAGAACTGCCCATGAGTTGTGATTACTGGTTAAGTTACCAAAAGGATTCATGCCGTCTGTGGCTAGTCCAAGTCTAAGATTTCTTGCATCACTGCCAAAACTTGGAAATAGACAGTCAATTTTCTTCTACTGTGGAGAATCGGCCGGATGACGAAACAATCCATCACGTTTTTGTGCAGTTGAATGCCATATCATATTCTTGGCATCTTCTCCATTGGCAAACAATCGCTTAAATCTTGGAATTATTGGAAGATACCATATAACTTTTGCAGGAGGTCTCTTTCTATCAATATATTCGCTAATATCATCCTTGTCTTTCAATTTGTAACGCGATACACCACATCTTGGACACTCATGTAGGCTTTCAAACTCTTTTCTGTATAATACACAATCATTAAGGCAATCATGTATCTTTTTATACTCTAAACCCATTAGACAAAGTATTTTTTTGGCTTCATACATACGACCAGGCAAGGTGTTATCGCTTGGGAGCATATCTTTCAAAACTTCTAGTAACTCAGTTAAACTTTTATCACTCCAACCAAATTTGGCCTTCAAATTGATCAATTTCAATACAGCTGACAATCGCGTGAATGTTGTACATCTAGCATACAGAGGTGTCTCTGAATCTATCTTCAATTTATCATAGATAGGAGCATGTGCTTGCAAAAAATTCTCTTGACCTACATCACGAATCATGTCTTCTATTCGATCTTCCATTGTCATATCCTCCTCTTCCTCAGCTTGTGTTACTATTGGTGTATCAATCACTTCACCATGTCATGTCCATACGATATAATTCTTCATTATCCCATCACATAAAAGATGTTCCCGTATTGTCTCTAGTGTGTGTACTCTCCCATTAACGCAGTTAACACATGGACAATACAATTTTTCATTAACCTTGGTGCCATTGTGTTCGCCAAATCACAAAAATTCTTCAACTTCATTCTCATACTGTTTCTGGTGGAATTTCGATCGATTTCGATTCTAAGGGTGTTTTGGTCTTAATCAAAATTCTACCATGTAAGTTCTTTTTACTTAGGCTAGCAATTTGATTTTCAATCGAAAACGTGTATGAAAATCGAAAATCACAATATATCGACAGAGCTGTTTTTGGTATTTTGTATTTAAAGTACTGAAAGTAGTAAAACTATCGAATCGAAAAACAGAATGTTAAATTGCGAGGAAATGTAAATTACGAGAACCCCAAGTTTGCAATAATTGTAAATGACAAGGAATCGAAAATGACGGAAATGTAAATGGCAGGAAATTAAGTTTGCATGAAGAACTAAATGACAGGAAATCGAAACGTGCAGAAAATATAAATAACTGGAAACTTAAACGCAGAAACTTAAATTTTCATTGAATTGAAATGACTATGAATCGAAAGTACAGAAACATGAAATCACTGAACTCAAATTGCAATTAACGTAAATTACCAAGGAAAATACAGAAAACGGTAAATGAATTCGGTGAGCATGGAAATCCAGATTGCCAGAAGCTTCATGGTGTTCGTCATTCTCCAGTAGACTTTCTCACTACTGATTCTGTTTTCTGCCAATTTCTGCCCCCCCTCCCTTTTTCCTCCCTTGCTCTATTTATAGGGCCTCCTTCAAGCCTTCCAAGAACAGTTAATAAGACTGCTACCATGTTCTTTCGTGCATGACGGTTTCTTTTTCTACAGTTTCCCACGTTCTCACGATCCTCGACTCCTTCCATGGTCCCATAACTGCTTTCTATACGTGCGTTTGACTTATTCTTCTCTTTGTGGTTTGTCCAGAGTTTCGATGTCCATGTTCCCTTCGCATTCGATGATATCGAACACTTTGCATTGCTTTGGGTTTAACCTTAACATCATATGATTCTAGTTTCTTAGTTTTTTATTTGACAACAAGCATTTGGTTATCATTCACCCAATTTTCGATTGTACCTCTCGATGTTATGTACTACGTACTTCTAATTGGACATCGAATGATTTCTTTTGTC